TGAAAAACATGGAAAAAGGACATGACTAGTCAGTTGTTAGTGCCAGGGAAAGCAACTAGAAAGAGAAACTTACAGTGATGAACTCCAGCATGCAAGAATCTGGTCTTCTGCTCCTGTTTACACCCAAACAGTGACTTTATTAAATCAATTAATATGCTGATTGTGAACGGGTTTCTCTAAAGGAAGAGAAGCAAAGCCACCTAGAAGAGATAGTGCAGGCAAGAAGGCAGATTACAGAAGCAAGCAAAACTACAAGTGCGCTTAAGATTGCAACATGATGCTGAATCATACCAAGTATCTGTCTTCTTGTTCTTTTAAAAAACAGAAGTTAAATTATGTTTACAAAAATAAAATTGGTCTATAGCAAGTTAAAAGTTTTTATGAAAAGCAGCTGTCAAAAAAGCCAGCCTTTTTGCTTGATGTATTTTTTCTAGTGTCTTTGTGCAAGACAGCAATCTTTTTCATTTTGACATACCTATTATGTCAGGAGTTCAAGTAGGAGCATACTGACAGATACATGATCACAACAGCTTTATTCAGTCTTATGCTTTTGAGTTCTAACATCATAATTTTCAGTTGTGATTCATGGAGCCCTTGAGAAGTACCTACATTGATTGCTGGATGGCACAAGTTGTTTTTAAGCACGCTGCAGGCTCTTAAATTTCAAATCAGCAACCTCTTGGCTGTTTATAAATCAGTTTATAAGCACCACTACAGGAATGGGAAGAATGGACAACTCAGTGCAGTTTACCTTCAGTTCTTCACTACACTTAATACAGTTATCACCTCACTGTCTGCATTCTTCCTTTGGGAAGAAGGGTAACATTTTGTTAGCAGAACTTTGATTGTACTGACAAAACTTTACAGCCTCAATCAGGCCCAAGCTCAGAACTGCTTGGTACTTATCACACATCCCCGCCCCACACACCTTATTTTAACAACTATCTCCTAATTTCTTCCAGGAGTCTGAGTGGTACAGCACCTTCTTCCTACCCTCTACAGTCCCTTGGCTCATAGCACTGCTGCTGCCTCCCACCATGAGGGAAGTCAGCCAGAAAGAATCAAGTCTTACATTTTACAAAACTCTATCTGAACAAATGAAATGCATAGAGAATATTTTTGCTGGTCACTAAGGTTACAACTTTAGACAGCCTTCATACAGCAGAGCTTCCCAAACTGAGTTGAGCAGCTTTCAATAAAATCAGCTGATCACTTTGTGTTGTTTTATTGCATTGCTACTCCCATTACTTCTGCTCCATTACCCAAATTACCAACAGATCTCAACATCCACATTTTGTACATCACCAGTGTACACCAACGTACATAGGGTGAATTTCACAATACTGCTAAGTTTCCTTCCAACTTTAAGCCAATCACTAAGAAAATCAACAAAAGAGATGAAAGTCTTTAGCACATCTTATTAGAAATATACATATATAAGCTATATTAACACATGCATCTGGATAATACTAAAATAGCCTGGGAAATTTTGTGTGTTATTCACTGAATGGCACAATGATTAATCTTTTTCCTTCCCTTCCATGGTCATTTTCCATGCCCTCTCATGCTTCTTGCTGTTTTGAGAATCTGTCTTGGTGATGGAGGAAGAAAGAGGGACGTGGCTAAGGGGAGGTGGCTGGAGGATGGGGTGATGCAGGGAGAGCTGCATCTGGAGGTAAAGGGGAAAACACAGAGCAAGGCCATACAGTTTATGGCCACCAAGAACTGCCAAACCTGTCCTGGTGCCTCACAGGTGGGACACCAGGAAGAGCTCAGCACCCTCCAGCCAAAAGGACAGGATGGGAAGTGTGGCAGAAGACCGTGGCTTCTGGGAGGACCTAAGTACAGCTATGCCAGGACAGGACATGCTAAGCAGCACCTGATAAAGTAAAGTGCGCTTTACTCCAGGCCTGTACAAAGCCCTCCCAGCAACAGCCCTGCACTTGTCTTGCCTGCCCTGTTCCAAAGGCTCCCTTACAGGGAGATTCCCAGGTTCATCACGGAGGTGGAATGAAAATCCCTTGTAGAAAAAAAAAAAATTATCAGGGTGTGGCACCCCAGACTCCCTCCTGGATCACACATTGCACTGGAACATCAGTGTGGTGGTCACAACGCTCATGTCACGGTCTTACAGAAGACTGAATAAAAAGGTCTTTATGCATTACCCACAGCTAATGACTCCCCTCATATCAAAGACAGTGTTTTCTCTGCCTTCTGCAGCCATTTTCTGCTCCAGCCTAAAGAGTTCAAAGGAGGCAAGGTAAGACCTGGGCAGGATATTTGAAGTGCTGTAAATGTGGTTTAGTAACATATCTAAGTATGAGGTAACCATCAGAGCCTGAGCAGTAAATATGTGAAGCTAGCTGGAAATGCACACAAACACTTTCTACTTAAGGCATTATCACCAGAAGGGAAACCTTAGTGATCAATAATGGTTTTATTCCTGATCATTACTACCTTTCTTAAATTTTCCCTTATCTGCTTAAACCATAGGTTTAAAATACTGCAGTAATTGAGCTCAATGGGAAAACTGAGATGATTTTTCATTATATTAGGTAAGTGGCTTCATAAAAGCTAACAGGAAATGGACTGCACAAGCAGTTTTGTAGTGCCACAGAGACCATCCTTCTAGTTAGCTAAGAGACTGGGGAAAATAAGCCTTGGAAACTCATCTTATTTGACACACTACAATAATTTGATATTAAAAGCACTGACCATAAGGTCATTATTTTATGCAATTACTACCCATTATTCTCAGAAAATGATTCAGTAGTGTGCTGCAATAAAGCCCAAGACTCAACAGCAACCATACTTAAGATTCATTTTATTTCAATTATTCAGTAAATGAATCTACTTGAGCCAAAAATCTTTTTTTTTTTTTTTTAAAGGACCCCTAAATTCAATTAAGGGCTCCTGTAAAGACTCACCCATTTACAACGGACCTCTAGTCATGGAAAATTTCAATGTGAAATACAGTTATTTCAGCCTGAAATACAGTTCTTAAAGCTTGCTCAAGATTTCTACTGTGAGTGTATTTTCCTACCACACCTATTTCTCTATAGGCACTTCACTAGACTTACATATCTTCATCTTGAAATATGTCACACATTGCCTTTTCATCTCCCACTAGAAAGGTCTGGTTTACACAATAACCTATGATGAAATTACTACAAATTTCTGGATGCTAAAACACTTTTTTCCTTAATTTGTTAATACATTCAAGAAAACCCATCCCTCATATACCACTGACACGGCAAGATCAAGAACTGTTCTAAGTCATGTGATTTGACTGACATTTCCCATAGCGTGGTAAAGAAGTGATCTACATGTTCACATCTAATCATTCTTCCTAAAAAGGCACAGGGTAGTATTGCTACTTGACCTCTGTCTTGTCAAACAGGAAATCAGAAACCAGAGTGATATTACATTAAAAGAAAAAGGCTTACAACGTACGTTCAGTATTAGAAATCAAGACTCTAAATCTATATTACATTTAAATTGCCTAGTGACAGTGTTCTCTCCAAAAATCTCATCAAAAGGGATGAAGCCCAAGCTATACATGTAACATCACTACATAACCATAGTGCATTTCATCAGTGTCATTGCCATGTCTGCAGTGTGACCCCAGTAATTACTTTAGGTGAACTGGGTAACTGTGGCACAATAAGGGTCAGGACAAGTCAAATTCATGGAGTACATCCAGTTCCACAGGGTGTCCATGAGAGGTTAACTCCAAACCAGAAAACTCAAGTCCTGTGACAGCCTGACTGCAAAAGCAGCATTTTCTATCAATGTTCAGTTTCAACTTTCCCATCTCTCATGGGTTAAGCCTGAAAGGGAATAGATGATTTGAGTCTTCTATGCATCCTTAATACAAAGTGACATTGAGAGAGTGCTGTTTGGATACTGACCACTTGGCTGTTTCAGCTGATTAGACCACAGTGCCATAGGAGGAATGGGATGTTAAGAAAACACTAGTCATTCTACCTGAAGGCTGCTAAGCATGATAAAATTCTAACAGACATAATCAATATATCTACTTGATACCAATATCTTCAATTATCACACCAAAGGATGCTTTTCAGAAGAAACAGCCAAACCCATAACATGAGTTCAGAAGAGCTCTTTTTTAATAGGTCAGGGAAATATTTTCCAAAATCTTGCTGAAATAGCTGACCACTTCCTTGTGAAGCACTACAGTTAAGATCAACTGCAGATGCTGCCTTGCAGATAAACTATTTTCTTTCATACACTCTTAATTTTACACGTGTCAGCATATCAGGCATGGGAATAATTTCAAACTTATAAGTAGCATCTAACTAGTGTGGACTACTACATAAATCCTTAGAATTCATTTTAAGACTTTTTGATACTAAGGTAACAGTACTATACTTTAAGTCATCCGAAGCAAGCAAAATTATCTTATCTGTCCATATGATTCTGCTCTGTCTCTCTACTTGCTTTCAGCAGAAAGCCTTGAAGTATGGGATTGCTTCTCAAGTGATCTCTCAAAATACTCAAGTAGCTTTATAACACATTGCATGACAAGCTTATTATGACAACTGCTTTTGCAGCTACTTCTTTAGGATGAATTGTCATGATCAAAGTTTTATGAATATGAAGAAATGCTCTTAAGAGAAAGCTCCCATCTATGTTCTGCTCTGAACCCTAGCACTGATCCCATTCAGCTGGTAGACAGTGTCAGACAGGACTTACTGTGAACAGCTTAAGGTTCAAACATCAGTAGTAAAAAATTCCAATGCCTTGAGTGAAAAAGAGAACTGTTTCCTCAAGAATAATCTGTGAATACTTCAGAAAACATTTAGTGCAGTTTTGAACCTTCAAAGTGTTGGGACACTAAAACGGATTCTCTAAATCATTCTTTCTGTCAGTTTGGGTGAGTGACAAAATTAGTTGTGCATTTTAGGGGATGATTCAGACCTTAGAAGTGATACTGCATCTCTTACTTTTCCGTGTGTTTTGCTCTAGGAAAGACTTACAGTTCCAAGGTCAATAATGAAACAATCTCCTTTGTTGAAGCTGGCCCAAGCCAGGGGGACTTCTGTGGCTCTTACAACTCTCCGGCCCTTGATATGCAGAAGCCTCTGGGCACTCAGATCATTAGTAACAACATGATTAAATCCAGAGGCAACACCACCTGCCTGAATAAAACAAAACAAAGCAGCAAGGTTTATTTCAGCTTGATTTCTGCAGACTTACCTTTTTGCTATAGATGAGGAGCTAGCAGGGGGAAAAAATAGTTTATGCAGTAAGAGGCAAGCCAAAATAATATACTGTTTAACAGTGCTGACCACAGAGCAGACAAACATGGGAAACACTGCTGCTGAACTCTCAGGTGTGAACCTTTATCTGAGGGAGCAAATGTCACCCTGCTTCAAAAGGATTTCAGGTGAATGGGGAAAGGCAAAGCACAAGAACAGGATTTACAGCACTCTCCTGCATCATCCAGAAGATGAGTTAATACTGAACCACACTGTTAAGACAAAAGTCAGTAGGTTGTCAAATAAGGACTGAGGAAAAGCAGAACAACATGCAGCTCCTGCATAAGTTTTCCCAACTTCCTTAAATCTCAGATGTCTGGGTGGTTTTAGTGCCTGGTTACGCACAGAGGCACAGGTAATTCCACAGCAGCTCTGTAATTTTCTGAAAGGAATATTTGCAACTTAGGAGGTAACCTAGCAAGGAGCACCAGACTGGGGTAAGTGAGACCAAACTGTTGATTTGCAATCTATACAGTGTAAGTTTAAGCATAACTTATTCCTGTAAACTGGCTTGGCTGTCTGCGTCTGTGAGGCAGTATTCTTCACTCCTCCAGAAGACCCAGAGCTTGGGCTGGCACAGAAACTGGCTCTTGAAATTACAAAGAAAAAAAAAAAGAATGGGCAGGTCACTGCCAAGCTCTCTTACACAAGCAGAGTTAAAAGCTTCAAACTGGTGGTGTAGGCCATGAAAAGCTACAAATCTCCATAATGGGAAAAAATGCTGACTGAGCAATGGCTCCCAGAGCTCCTACTATGGGGAGATTCTCAGGAGATGCATTACTTTATTCTTAAAAACACAGAGATGTTGCAAAAAAATTTTCTTCCAAAGATGTGGCTTCTGGAAGTGACACAAGGAGGAGGCTGAGACTATAGCTTTTTAAAATATAAAATTTTCATGAAAAGTATTTGGGAGCTTTTCATCTACCTTAAAGAAAAAAACCTGCAGTAGGACTGCAAAAGCACCATTTTTAGACTAAAGTGAGGTTTTGGTCTTTTCCACTCTGTTCATGTTTTTAATCACTTAAGCACATTGGGTTCTACATTTGAACAAAATTATTCAGTCTACAGCATAGAAGTAGTTTCTGTGAGACTTACTACATCCCAAACACAGAGAGTCCCTACTGTGAAGCTCCCTTAGACACACAATTTTGAAATCTCAGGATAGCTTGATTTTAGGGGAGAAAAATAATTGGGAAAGGTTTGCACACATCAGAAGAGGCACTGGTAAACAAGATGCTGTTTTCTGTACAAGTACTGGGACTCCTATAGTTTAAGAAAGGTAGTTCAGGTCTAAAACCACTAAGTATTAAAAAACAACTCTTAAACCTTCCATTTATAAAGCAAAATATTTTATTTTACTTGGGGGACAATTTACATATATTTTTATAATACATTTTGATAGCTGGTTCTTTACCTTGTATTTAATTCCTCCTTTGAAGTAGCCCACAAACTCAGTAGACTCATTTCCTTGAATTTCTCTACTTTGCACGGGCTTTCCTCCTAAATAGTCATCCATTTGAACAGCAAAGATAGCTGCAGCTGTGCTTTCATCCTGGGTACATTCTTTCCCTGAAATAAGATGAAATATTATGTCTATAAAGCACTAATAGAACTTTGAATTCTGTTGGAGAAATTGTTTGTGACAAATGGACACTGCCTTCAGCAGGCTGTACAGCCCATGTATATGTCACAAAAAAGCACTACATCATAACCTTGTTCACCACCAAATGTATGACCATCCAGACCATTTAACTATTTGCAGAACTGTCTTCAAAAGCAAAAAAAGTTAAAAATAGCCAAGTTTGTCTTCACTCAGCCTCTTTGAACAAGATATTTTAATTCAGTGAGTTTCGCACAGCAAGTGTCTCCAGTAATGATTTCTGGACCTTGAGGTGAAGTGCAAAGACAAAGGAAGGTCACATCAAAGGACTGATTAGATGGTAAACCATGTATTTACACTAAGAACAACTTGCCAAGCCATAACGTTAAAATAATTCAAAAGCAGTCCTCTTGACACTACAATGCAAGCAAGGGTATTTTGCTTAGTATCTTTCATTAGATTCTCTGGTACAGCTGGGAGAAAGAAAAGCAGCTTTGGGGCTCAGATATTTGCTTCATGAGCTCACACTTCGTTTTGTACCTTTCAGAGATTAGCCTCTTCCCAAGACTGTGACAAAATGGCCTCTTAACCTAGTGTGTTGATGGCCTAATCACACTGCAAAGCAGGCAGTATATTAAAATAAAACTTTTAACACGGGCCCATACATTTCTGATGAACATTTTCAGTAGTTGATTGTTTCAAGAAGCGTGCAAGTAGGATGAAGTCTCAAAAAATAGGCTTCTCAAGAACTTTTGAAGAGTAAGGAAAAATGAGGTTTTCCATTTAGTTTTTATTTTTTCTTTCTAAATAAGAGGAAGATGCTGGTATACAAGCAACAGTTCTCAAGAACAGCTTCTCACTTACATTAACCATTTCCTTGTTTCTAGGTGACTGAGTGGAAGAATAGCGTAAAGCCCCAGGCAGTGTGGACAGAGATACCTCTCAGGCTACGGGAGAAGGGGAAGTGTGTAGTGAGGTGTTGGCATCACCTCACGGTGTAGCGAGTCACTGGTGTCACCAGAAGCATGCCAGTAAGGTATTAGGAAAAAATAAAGCATGGGAGAGGGAGGACAGGGATGCCTAAGGGGATCACCAACCTAGCTCCTCTCTTAGGGAAAATGAGTGCCCCATTCATGGCCCAGCTGTGCAAATGCCACAAGACAACTCCCCTCTGCCCACCAACAACTGGGCTTCTTCCAGAAGCAGTGTCACCACTGCCACCACCACAGCTTTTGTGGGGACACAGGTGCAATGGAAGCCTCCAAAAAGCAGCAAGGATGAAATAGGGAAAGGATCCAAAGAATAATGGAGGCATAGGGAAGAAAAGAGCACGAGGCCTGCCCAAAAAAGGTAAAATAATTACTGAAAGCAGGACATAACACAAAAAACCTTGGGGGGTGAGCCCTATCACTCAGTGATAGCATATTGCCACACAGCAAGTTCTTCTTTCTCAGACCTGTGTACCACCTTAAAGTTGGAAGTAAAATTTTGGTTGGTTGATTTGGGGGTTTGGTTGCTTTTTTTTTTTCTTGGAGTTATTCATGTCTATTAGGAGTAGATCCTTCAGATTTATTGCTTGCAATTACACAACAGGGTTCAGGGTCAAAGAAAACTGGTTTTGGAACAGTGTTAGAAGTAAGAACCACTACCAGGCTTGGTCTCACAGCTGCTATGCAATAAAATACTCAGTGAAACCCTGTTTAAAAGAAACAAATAAGCATCAATCCAAGTGTAGGTTATTCAAGCTTGTATGAAAACAAAGTTTACCTTACAGTCCGAGGCACAAACAGCTATAAATAAGCCAGAGTATACAGGAAAAAGAACAACATTTTTTACCAGAATAGATCCTGGTTCACATGGATATGTTTTATCACTTACTCTCTGGGGACAAGGGTTAAAAAATAGTTAAAAAACACCATGCATGATTTTATTAAACATAGTAAGTGGGGCATAGCCAGTCTTACTCCTACAAGTAGCCTTATACTGGCATAGTAGAAGCTGTTTCCACTAGTGATAGTTTCAAGTTGAGACAGCTCCCTAAGGATTAGCAGTTTAGCTACTAAGACATCCCTGAAGTGCCAGTGCAGACAACCAAGCCAGGATCTCTGAGCAAAGTTTAAAACGGATACAGCTACCACAACACAGATCCACATTAATTGCCTGGCCATGCCAATGTCATTGCAGCACCTGAGTTGCTTCTTCAGAAATTATCCAACCTGGACAGCACTTCAGCATATGTGAGGTATTTGGTAAAACAGTGGCTTTCACATAGGAAGCTTCAGGCCAATAGAACAACTGTTTGGTCACTTTAACCCTAGAATACCAGTCACAGCACAAGACTGGCAGCACATCAAGGTCACAGACCATCCTCCCATGCTCTAGACCTCCTTCTAACCCCTTGGGTATGCCCAAGCAAAGTATTAGCAGGAAGTTTGCCACTATACAATATTAACATTTTTAAAAATTAATATTAATATTATATTAATATAATATTAAAATTCAAAAGCTCTGCTTTTATTCTGAATTTGGTCTCTTTTTTGGTGAAGTCAGAATCCATTCAGACTCAAAGCCACCACGTGAGGCCCATGCAATAACACATACCACAGATGACATGCAGGAGTAGGACCATGTCACCAAGCGGCAAGGCCCTTATAAGTATCTAAGCCCAAAGTCTGTAGGGTTTCCACCAATCTAATTTCACAAGAGTTCTTTCCATCCCAAAAGTCTGACTTTTTGATTTCACTTCCAGTTGCAAAGAGTCCTTCCCTCTTTCCCTGGGAAGTGTCTACTATACCTTAACTACTACATAAGTAGTTCTAACTTCATTAACAAAGGTCTAACCAGCCAAACCCTGCTATTAACTAGCAGTGCTGCTGACATAAGAACATCTGCCAGAAATTCATTTACACTGCCATCTATGATTACACTCTCATCAGAGACAGACACTATCCTGCATGCCAGCTGGATAACTCATAGCACATGCAAAACTAACAAGCTTCAAACATTTATGCAGAAACAATCCCAGCTTTATCTGCTATTCTTTTTCAACGAATCCAAAAGTACGAGAATCACAGCAACTCAAACACATTAGTGTTAATACACATTGACCTGTCTTTATGTGCATTCACTGAGATAATTGCCTACAAACACAAACCTTGGGATGGTGAAACAAGAACAAAGTAATAGATCTCAGGCAGCTACACAGCAACCACAGCGGTCGGATGACTTGGTGACCAGACAAGGAAGTCTCAAGAAACCCCCAAAAGATGAGGAAGTCGCCTAAAATGCATCCTATGTCCGACTTCTGGTTTGCTGTAAACACGGTGTTAGTCAAGGTTGAAGGCAAAAGACAACAGCCCAACTCCAGTGTTCCCAGTTACTTCGGGAGGGGCTTTACTAGGCTGTCAGACTGATAACCGAAGCCAGGAGGTTTTACAGAACACCTGGTGACTTTGCCTCCAATCTCCATACCATCAGAAAGCAAAATTAGTCTCGCTGAAAAAAGGCACCACCGGGACACAAAGCAGTGCAACAACGAGGTGAAAATTTTGGTCCTAGTGAAAACAAAGGCAAGAACACTCTTCATCTGAATGAAGGGAGGAGTTCGCTTGTGAATCCTGGTTGGATGCAGCCAAGACTTGACCTCCACCCTTCACCGCTTTCCCAAACTAACCTCACAAAGCAAGCAAGCGTCCACCTTTCCGCCACAACCCCACTTTCTCACCCCAGAGCCCCTTAGCACGGCCGCATCAGAAGCGGCGAGGCTTGGCATCGCCCGGACCCTTGGCTGTAGCCCTACTTCTGTTATTAAGCGCCTCAACTTGGAAGCTTCACGCCCGCAGACCTCCTGAAGAGGGAGGGCGAGAGTTCCACCTCCCGACCCCCCGGAGCCCGGCGAAGCCGCAAGAACCTTCAGCGAAAAGCCAGGGCACGCCCCGCCGCCTGGCGCTGCCCCCGGCCCCAAGACCCCCGCCGCCGCCGCCGCCGCCCCGCCGCCTACCGAGCCAGTAGTGGAGGCGGTAGGCGGCGGCGGCGCCGCGGCGGACGGTGCGCAGCACCAGGTAGGCGTCCCCCACGAAGAAGTCGCCGTGGCGGCTGGGGGGCACCGGCACCAGCTCCAGCCGCTCGACCCGCCACACCTGCAGCCCGCTCTGCCGCCCGGCCTCGGCGAAGGCCGGCGGCGTCCGGCCGAGAGCCATAACCAGCAGGGGCGAGCGAAGAGGCGGGGGGGGGGGCCCCCCCCCCCCCCCCCCCCCTTTTAAGGCGCGGCCCCGCCCCCCC